ACAAGGAAAAAATACATAATCTATGATTACACAATAATGACATCCGTAAAAGGTCCCTGCTAAACTATTGAATTTTTAATGCACATTTTGTAACAGTTTTTATTGCATGCATATAAGAATACAGTAGCCTGTTAGCAGACAGCCAGAATTTTCTATATATGATGCACACGGAAGTCAAGAATACTCAGTAGTAGTCACAGTGGTAGTATTTGAGCACAGGAAATCGATGGACAGAATTAATTTGAAGTAGAGCACAGTACAAACTATACAAACTGTGCTAATAAAGATGATTTATTCAACTTTACGTGCCTCCCCGGTGGTAACATGCTAAGAGAGAACTGCCCGTCAGTTCCACTAGAGTACATAAGGTGAAAACTCTTCACTCGCATGTAATCTGGCTCCACATCAGATAGGTTCATCCTTAATAGGTCACTTTGGGCCGAGGAGGTGGGAAGAGCAAACACACTTTAAGGTGTACAGGGACTGAGACAAAGGATCTGCATATGAAAGTTTTTGTTAGCTCACTATGAAATTCACCAGAGTGTTTAAAGATACTTCCCCTCTCCAAGGATTATCTTGGCGCTAAATTTCAGTTTTCCTCTCCTAGCTATGGCAGCTGCACCAAAAAGATCACAAGAATTTTTCAGAATGTGATAAACAATTGAAAACGGGAGGTTAGAATACTAATAGTTATGCAACATTAACTGTGGTTTCTTTTCTTGTTATGGACCCTGACACAAACACTACTGAAGTATGTATCTAAATTGATATAAGTGGGACTATTTGTGCAATAAAAGATAGCCATGTGCTTAAGTAGCTTGCTGAACTGAGGCCAAAATGCTGCCCTTCGATTACTTTCCCAGCCTAAAATGAAGCCAAATTATTTTGCAGAGTTACATTGTTAATATTCTCAGACTGACGACATTTCTCCCTGGGGGTGGAAAGAAATGTACATTATGTTTCTCTCCTCTTGTGATTCACCCGGTGATGCACTTGAGTAAATATATAATACACAAATATTTCTCACATCAATGTTTCATGATGGACTGGTATGGAGAAAATCTGTCTGCTTCACTCGGATGTCTCTAACATGTTCAGTGACAAAGTCAAAGGATAGGCCGATGGCTGGATAATTATGGTACCCATGGCATACTAACCAGTTCGATATCTTGTAATCCAGCATTAATTAAGATCTGAGCCAGGATTTTCTCCCTCTCTCTCAGCACCTTCAGCTTCTCCTTTAGAAAATACCTTGGAATAGGGATCTCTATGTGTTCCTACAGAAGAGAAATATTCAGGGGACACGGTTAGAGCTGTTGCTTATTGCCTTAACGCCTTTCCTTTTGGAGACTATTTAAATTGGTCTAAAGCTTCAAGAATTTCTAGGAATGTTGTGTGACTTGACCTATGTAACAACCGCTGTGCTACTACTTGGCAATTGCTCAAGGTCTAATTCAACAACAACATATTAACCCAGTTTCACAATCATGAAAACCCAGTTGCATACGGGTTTCCACAGCAATTTTTAAAATGGCGCAATTCATTTTTATCAACTATTTTGAACATTTTAGGGCTTGCTAGTATTTAAAAATGTACAGATAGTGACTTCCACTGAATGTAATACACTCATTATTAACTCCCACATTATTTAATCAACAAATTGAAAAACAAATCAGTTGTACTACCTTGTTTTTATTACTAGGAGTTAATATCAGATTAATTATATAACCTCTTCACTATTTCTAAGGGAGCTATCCCTGTGATATTTAACCACCTCTCATAATCCAGAACAAATGGAAATATCTACTCAAAAAGTCTGTCTTTACTCATAAGCAAGTTTCTAGCCATCAGATGTGTTACTTAGCAGTTCCTTGCCTTATACTTATTCAGAGATCTTTGAGGATTCTTCTTTCTCTGCATGGTACAAGCGAGTAGAGACAATTCTTCCAAAAGTATGCAATCACTAGTAGTATGTATCTTAATGGCAAGTACGAATTTAATGAAAATGCATTAAAGAGACAAGGTGAGTGAAATAATACCTTTGACTGGATCAACTACTTTTAGTGTAGAGACAGTTTTGAGGTTACACACAAAGGCAGAAGAGCTTTGTGAAAGTTTGAAAGACTGAGGCCAAGTCTACACTAGACCTGGAAGCTTGGCTTAAGATTCGCAACTCCAGTTATGACGAGGTTGGCACTGTCCCCACAGCGGTAGGCCAACAGGAGCAAACACTCTCATTGGTTTCCCTTACTCCTCGCAAGAGCAGGAGTACTGGCCACCGGCGTGGGCACCCTCTGAGTTCGTTTTAACAAGTCTTAACTAGACTTGCTAAATCAAACTCTGGAAGATTGATCACAGCAGCGTTGATCTTCCACGGAGTGAAGACAAGGCCTAACTTTTCATCAACAGAAGTTGGTCCAATAAAAGATGTTACCTCTCTAATATCTGGGGATTAACATGGCTACTATGTAAACACTGCAAACATGAAAATATACTGATAGTTGTCTTGGAACATAATGACACCATTAATAAAGATTTTATTAAAGAAATGGCAATAATAAAAGTCAGTTTGCTTGAGCAAATCTTTTAGTCTCTGCAGAACCGTGGCTGTCACTTCAGATGTGGGCAAGAGCATGGTGAGATGAAAAGGTACTGGATGATGACAAAAGTAGCACCAATTTCTAGCTAAAGACACTGGGAGATCCCTTATGTTTCTCTGCTTTCTTAAGTCTAAATTGGGCAGTGCGACGGAAGACTCAAGTGCTAAGGAACAGAGTTTATGTACATCAATACCTACCGGAGACAGCTTAAGATCTTGCAGGATGTCATCAAAGTAATGAAACTCTGAGTTCTCCAGCACCACCATTTCATTCTTCAGCTCCAGGATACGGCCCATCACGCCCTCCAGTACTTGCCGAATCACTAACCGTTTTTGCGGGTGAACGATTTGGTCGTAAGCAGTCTCCAAGTTACGGAAAATTTGCACATATTTGATGTAGAAAGTGGCTAGAGTCTGGAACACTGTTACACGATCCTTCTGTGGCTTTGGAAGCTTATCTTCTATCTCCCTCTGAAGCAGGCTGTTGAGGGATTCTTGGGCTTCTGCCCACATTTTATTATAAGTGCTAGTTGAAAAGAAAAAGAATATTTTAGCTGCACATATGAGCATTGATTAGCATACCATTGGAGGCACAGTTCCTGAGTGTCTCAAAACTCTGGAAATGTGGATGTCTCACCAATGCAAGAACTGACATGCATTTTCATCCAAAAATTATTAATCAAACTTAGCTAAACCATATTTTAAAGCAGAGATTACATATTTCAGTAGTTAATTAGCTATTTTGTTATAGTTCCTAGTAAAGCAGTTTTAGAATAGGAATTTTACATTTATGATTTCATAACATAAAAAAGTTAGAAATCATTGGAGTTCATCACAAAATATAGTTGGAATCATAGCTTCAGTCTAGCAATGAGCTCTCTCTGGACAGACCTCTATGCCTACATGAGACCCCACTAACATCACTGTGAGACCAGAACTGGAGGAACGTACTTCAAGCATCACAACCCTGCCTCCTCGATTCAATGCAATTAAAAAAAATAAAATAGGCTCTCCTTTTTATTCTCTTGTCAGAAGCTGGATTGCAGCACCATCAAAAAAGAGTTTAAAGGTTATAGTAGTGGTGATGGCATGGTGGACATGGAATTTATATCACTTGCATCTTGGAAATTATCGATTCTGCCGGGAATTGCTGGTATTTCTACAGGCTGTGACAATAATAGCAGGCTTTTCGTTCCATCAAGCTTTACCAGGACAGATGCAACAGCCATGATTGTGAAGGATCAAGGGAGGTAGTGTGGCATAGCAGATAGGGTCCTGAGTTCAATGTCCCAGCTCTGCCACTAGTCTGCTGGGTGACCATGGGCAAGTTACTTCGCCTCACCATGCCTTGGTTTCCCCACCTCTAAAATGGGCATAATGATTCTCACCTCCCTACATCAGTGCTAGCTGTTATTTTTAAAGAGTGCCAACACAGAGTATACTGGCACTTGCTATTGTAAGATGGAAATTGGAACATAGGAACGGGCCCCTGGTTAAAGAGGTATTCTATGGAGAGTGTTAAGTCTCAGAGCCATGTTGGAAATCCTGAACTATGAAAGGAACTGCCATTCACAAAGGGTTGGAACTCTGCTTTCACTGTTCATCATCAGTCTCTCAAATGCTGATGTCTGACAGCTAGTAAGATAGGCAAATAATACGGGAAAGGACCACAGATGACATGTATCATCTTGTGGTTAAGACCTTGGTCTGGGACTCAGTGTATATGCATCAGTTGCTAGCTCTGTCATAGACTTTCTGTCACTTAAGTTCCCCGTGTTTCAGTTCCCAATATGTCTCTTTACACTGTGTTTTCCTCAGGGGAGATGCTGCCACTCACTGTGTGACTGGTATAGCACTTAGGAGAATGGGGCCTCTTAGTTACTGTAATACAAATAAATAACAAGATTGAAATCTATAAGGGAAGAGGAAGCAGCAACTAAAAACCATACATGACTCCGTCAGAATTCTGGGAAGGTTTATATGTAAAACTGAAAATACTGTTTTACTTCATTCAAAAACTACAGCAAGTACCTTAGCTAGAAAATCTAGAGCGAGGGAGCTCTCTGATTCTTCTATTGGGGACGGCTGGAAAACCCAGCTTTGGCTAACTTCATTTGCATGAGTTATAACATTATTTACCCATAATTCCACTGATTGATTTTTGTTGTTGTTTTGGTTGAAATTGTTTGTCCCTTGCGCAAGAAACCCCTGTTGCCCATCCACACTGCCTTCTCGCACAAGAGCTCTTGCACAAGAGGACTATTCCTCTCCCCACGAGGAATAACTCTTGTGCAAGAAGCCCTCTATTCCGACACTTTATTGTAAGTTTATTTGCGCAAGAACGTGCATGCAGTGTAGATGCTCCGCAAGTTTTTGCACAAGAACGGCTGTAAAAAAGCCTGCAGTGTAGACGTAGTTTGGTGTATTCGTTTGGGTTGTTCAGTTTCCGAAATGCAAACATTTATCATTGGTTTGCTTCATGATTCTTATAGTTGTGTTTGCCTTTCTCCCCAGATTAAAGATTCCCAAGTTCCATATTTCTGAGCGACTTCTAAGTGCTTGTGAGTGGGGAAGAATCTTCCTGTGAGGGTGACTAGTGAAGCTTTATTTTTTATTTCCCAGAGCCAGAAATCAGAGGCCTGCTCTGTCAGGGCTTAGAGCCATGTACCTGTTTAGCTTAGAACAGAAACTTTAGATATATTGTGCCTGTCCCTAGGTGCCGTCACTGGCAGAAGGATTATGTACACACACATTCGCACAATTGAGAGACAACTGAATGATGTCTGTTACATTTGATGGAGCCATTTGGAACCATTCTCTTGCTGGTCTGACTGGGACTGAAAATGCAGTTATGTATTCACTTTCTGTTGTCATAAAGAGGCAAAGCAGCTGCAGCCCATGGCTATGTCTACACTACAGGCTTCTTGCGCAAGAAGCTTTTTGCAAAAGAGATCTTCCACAAAAACTTCTTGCGCAAGAGCGTGTCCACACTGCAAAATCACATCAGAAAAGCAATGCACTTTTGCGCAGGAGAGCATCCAGACTGCATGGATGCTCTCTCACAAGAAAGTTCTGATTGCTATGCACAGAATGGCCACCAGGGCACCTGTGCTTCTTCCGATAGGCTGTTTTTGCACCAAACCCCCCTGATGCCCGTCCACACACACCTTTTTGCACAATAACTCTTGCGCAAAAAGGAGTTATTCCTCATAGAAAGAGGAATACCTATACCGCAAAACCCCTCTATTCTGTTGATTCACTGTAAATTTTCTTGCGCAAAAACGCACTCGAGGTGTGGACACTCTGTGAGTTTTTGCGCAAAAACAAGTGTTTTTGCACAAAAACTCTACAGTGCAGACATAGCCTATATGATTGTCATCCAGAAGTGTAAGCCAATCACCTTGTTCCCATCCATGCCTTTTATAATACCAAATGATCTATTTGCAGCTGTAATGAGGCTATGGGGGTGTCGGGATAATATTGCAATACGGTGTCTCACCTTGGACAGAGTAGCTTGAGCACTCTGTATTTGTTTATTTCCCCAGGATATTGATGGGGATGTTGAGACTCATGAGAATGCTCAGCACAAAATATTAACAATCCAAATCTGCTATTGAATTGACATGCTTTCATTTTTTTAAAGGGTG